CAGATATAAGTATAAACATGATTATGAAAACAGGATAAGGATACAAATAAATGGGGACAGTAGGGCAGGGATGGTAGGCACATTGGTGCGCTTATGCACGCCCCTTACAGACCTCTTAGGAATGGGGTGAGGTCAACAGTAGACAGTCTAAGATTAAAGTTATAGGGGTTTGGGGAAGTAACCACATAGTCAGGTAGTGCATTCTAGGCATTGACCACTCTGTTGCTGAAGTCATATTTTCTGCCATCGAGTTTGGAGCGGTTTACCTCTATATCTGATATTATATTATGTATGATATTATATATCTGACAGATGTAAGGATAAGACAAGATTGATAGAAAACTTTGCAATTGAATCGATGTACTGTATCTGCTGAGATGTTCTAAGTCATCTGCTTACCTTCCATGACTCTTGACAAAGAAATTTCTGCCTCCTCATTGTCCTTTGCTGGCCTTGGGAAGAGTACAGAATATGCAAAGCATGTGCGATTGCATAGACAGCTGTGTAGACAGTGTAGCTGTGGGCAGTCATGCTGGTTTCAAACACGGTCATGGGGAGACTCTCAAGTTTCTCTTCTCCATTGCAGATAGTGTCATCCTCTTCCTTTACAGAAGAAGTTGGGAGAAAACAATTGAACATTTGTTGCCAGAATTCTTTTAAGAAATTGTCTTCTTTGTCCAAAGCCGGGTTTCTCATCTGAACAAAATTTTGGAATCCTAATACTTCCATTGATTTTACTGACAAAGACAGAGCCCCATGCATGAAATTAATGTCCCAACTCCTTTGAAAGAGAACCGATGAGAAGTCAACATCTGCCGTCATCACCCAGACTTTTGTACCATAAACTACATTACTAAATTCCAACAAATTGAGTAAAAACCTTAAATTTAATATACTCGTGAATTCTCCATGAAACAACACAATATTAGTGGTGCTGTTGAAAACCGTGTTTAAAATTGCACGGGATCTATGAACAGTTTTTTCATCCTCGCTGAGAAAGCCAGATGGTAATTTTTCTATGAACTCAAAGCAGACGCCTCTTTTGGAAAACATGGGAAGAATATTCCTCCACAAAATCTCGGCTATGTTGCTAATATTAAGGTAAAGCACTCCAACCCAGGTCCAGCCAAAATGCAAAAAAAGCTGGAGAAATCCTTTGTACTGGCGGAGAGCATTTGGGAGCATCCAGTAGAAGAAACGAGATGGAGTTTGGGTCTTGGTCTCTAGAGTAGAGGCATATGCAACCTAAATGAAACAAGCAAAATGGGACAGATAAATAGTTAGGACCACTGACAATTTTTTCCCCTTTGGCATTAATAACAGTGCCACATTTTCAGGTGAGATCATTCAGCCATTGTATTTTATGTCTCCAAAATACATAATAAAAGTAAAGAAATATCACAAAATGTAAAAAGTTTAAAAACTCACTCCGGGTTTTTCTTAAAGAACTTACCTGTGGAAACTTGTAATAAGTCAGGATAGTAGCCATATCCAGAAAAGCCATAGAACCTGGTCCCTCAATAACAGCTATCAGATTATTTTGAAGACCACATTTATAGTTAGGGATGAATCCATTTGGAGCAGAGAGAAGTTCCATTGTAGCTTCATATGTATATATTGGATTAAAAAAGTCATTAAAGATGTTGAAGCCCAGGGTGACGTTGGGTAAGATGAGGGGATTTTCATTAATCTCTTTCGCAGCAAAAACCAAAGCTAAGATATGTTGGTAGGTCTGAGTGAGCAATCTGAAAAGAAAGACAGGAAGGAAGGAAGGAAGGAAGGAAGGAAGGAAGGAAGGAAGGAAGGAAGGAAGGAAGGAAGGAAGGAAAAAGAAAGAAAATTACTGTATTACCTCTCAAATGTTAGAGGTTTTTAAGAGAGAATCTTCTTTTGTAGGTTAATAAGGTGTAATTCTCTAAGTATGTCAATAGTGAAGGATTGAAATATAGGAAACAGAAAAAAGTTGTAAGTTTAAAAGGCTTACATATGATCCAAAAGTATTTCCTGGAGTGGGGGTTTTCTGAACATCATTGCATAATTTACAATGAAAGACTGTGATAAGATACCACCAATGATCCTGTCTCCTGGCTGATAATATTTATGAATGATAGTAATGGGCTGGGTCCTGGGGCATTTTAACACTGGAATCTTGCAGACAATCTTAGGAAGAAGCATGAATGCCAATAAGTTAAACAGTATAACCATGAATGAAAATCTCCCTGTAAAAGAACATTTATCCACTGGGTCCATAAATGCTGAGGCAGCCTCAAATTGGAGATCCTAAGTCAAAGAAGCATAGGGGAAACCATCTCTTACTAGCCTGTTAATGCAGACTCTCTCTGTTAGCATCTTTCATTCTGAAGTGCTAGAGGATATTCAGGTCTTATTTACTTGGATTTGTAATGTCAGGAACAGCCACTTGAATTCTCCACAGACCCAAAGAAGCTGCAGACCAATTCCACGTTCCTAATTATAGAGTAGGTTATCATGCCTGAGTTAATTCCCAAGCCATGATTTTTCTCTAGGCTAGGGGGAAAAAATGCTATTGAAAGCAACACAAGGAGGCAGCAACATTTAAATAAACATTTAAATTTAAAAAAAGCACTCTGGAAGGTTGTTGTTGTTTTTAATTCAAATTTTGGTAGCTTTTAGGAAGCATAACATGGCACTATAAAATTATACTTGAAATCATTTTCTTTTTGAGAAAAGAAAAGTATCCCTCTTATTTTGATTTATTTTAACATAACCTCCATAATGATATTACCTATAATTACAATGAAGATCTGAGAAAATAGTTTTACCTACTTCAAAGTTGGCAATCATTAATCTAAGAAACTAAAAAGTTAGAGAAGGGCAGCAGCCATAGCACTGACAAAAAATACAAATAAATAAATAAAATAAAATAAATATAATTAGTGTGTTTTTATGTCAGCTTTATTTTCATGGTTTCCACTCATTCAGGGTTTGGTAGTAGAACCCTAAGGCTTCGATCCAATTATATAAATCCCTCATAAATCCAATTATATAAATCCCTAGCCAAGACTAAATTTCTCTTCCTTATTTATTTTTATGTACTTATTTCTTTAGCTTCTTATGACTACATCTTCATTGCTTTTTATGATTGATGTTGATTGTTTCTATTTAGTATCCTATTATGTTGATTGCTATTTAGTATCTATGTCAATCATTGTTGCATCTTATGATTGATGATGGTTGCATTCATGATTATGATCATGCTATATCTCTTGTTCCTTGTACGTGTCCTTGTGTGTCCCATCTCATCATTGGCATCCTTCAGTCTCAAGAGACTATGGTAACGTGCTCTGGAAAGAGGTCCTAAAACAGCATCTAGTGTGACTAAAAAGGCCAATTCGAGAGAGTCAATCCCTTCCACACTGAGGGCAGATATATTCTGTCCCCTGCCCAGCCCCCAGATTTCGCTGATTCCAGGACTGCCTCTTTGCCTCAGCCTGCCAAACAAGTGACTCTTCGAATTGGAGAAGGCCATGCTGAATCCAATCTCACTTGGCCAATAACTCTATTCTATTCTGTTCTGTTCTGTTCTGTTCTGTTCTGTTCTGTCCTGTCCTGTCCTGTCCTGTCCTGTCCTGTCCTGTCCTGTCCTGTCCTGTCCCATCTCATTGATACAGAGACTCTGGGCTGATTCTGTGCATGCATTGATATAAAGGGACAGTAGCTTCTAAAGGTCTTTTTCTTGAGACTCATCATTAACTCTAAGCCTCATCTTTATTTGTTACCAGAGAATGGCTGTGAAGTGGAAAGCTAGAGATTTAAATAAGAAGAGTTTATTTGGTATTGGATGGTTGTTGGGGCCACATGCATGCACACAGATTCATACATATAAGATTTATATATATATAACAAGAATATTATTTTTCTTTCAGTTCTACTTGATATCTGCCATTCTATCATCTGCATCATTGGCATCTAAGTAAAGAAGCGCTAATTAAACTAGCAGATCAGGAAAAAAATTACTAAAAGAAAACTGATTGAACTAATTAACAAAAATACTTTGTATGTTGAAATTTCAGATAATGTCAATAAAATGTGACAAATCAATAAAGTATGTAGTAAAATTTAACAGGGAACACTGTTTAATTACAGACAAAAATGAATTCTTGAAAAAGGATCTACTGTACTTAGAGTGAATTGGGTGAGAAAAAGGCCACCAAAGTATTATTTGAACCTTGGTCACACACTAATTAGATCACAGAAAATGAAATGAGGCATATCAGCTTGGTTGAGAAAATCTAGCTTGAAAGTAAATCCTGACAATGGGTAACAAAATTATGCCTGTTTTTTTAAAGGTAAAGGAATTTGAAGCAAACTTTTCCGATGGATGCCCTAATTAAAACATGAGCCTCGAGCCAAGCTTCAAAAGAAATCCAGTTATTTATTAGAACCTTCATGTCGGCACGTTCAAAAGTGTAGCCAGCTCTGACCCCATGTAATTTATGCCCCAATCATGACCTTGTTTCCCCCATCTCCCCAGGGTGCCTCAGCAATCACATTTGCAAATGGAGCAATTTCGCGGGTAGTAGAGCTCATTCCCCTCCGGCTGCTATGCGTAACCATGGGATACAGCCTTGAGAGAGATAAGTCTGGAATGTGCATTTGTCTTTGGCTGCAGTGCTATTTTGTCAGTTTCCCATCCTTCTTGCCTATGGCAAATTGAGAGCAGGCCAGGGATGTTTTGCAATTTGACATACAGTAAAGGATGAACAGACATCATTTAAATTGCACTATGAGAACAAAACTCAATATGGACTGTGTGAGAGCCTTTGGCTTTAAGGTCCATCTCAGAGATAGCAAGAAGAGAAAAAACATACACAACCGCCTGTGATGTTGCTACTGTAAGAAGGTTAATGCATAGAATGGCCTGCTTTGGCAAGGTTATTATGTCAAGTACAATTTAAATACCAGGTAGGAACCACTGTGTTTTCACAACTGGAGAAAAAGGAGCAATGTTGAAACATAGTTTAATTCACTCTTTTTATTAATTGTTCCCTTTTATTAAGATCTGGTCTAATTATAATGATGTAACATTTGGGGAAAAAGATAAAAGCCAGGAGCCCAGCACTAGAGGCCAAGATGGCAAAGATCTCCACAGCTATTGTGTATTTTCCTTTGGTGCTTATGTAGGCAGGGACAAAAGACAACCAGACACTGCAAAACACCAGCATGCTGAAAGTAATTGACTTGGTTTCCTGGAAAGTGTCTGGTAACTTCCTGGCTAGGAAAGCTGCAATAAAACTAACAAAGGCCAAGAAGCCCATAAAACCTAAAACAGAATAAAACATTGCCACCGAACCTTCATTACATTCTATAATTATTTCACTATTTATGGACCACACGTCAAAGTCTGGGAAGGGGGGAGAAATTCCAAGCCACACCATACAAAAAGTACTTTGAATAAGAGAACAGGAGAGAACAATGGAAAGGGCCAGTCTTTGCCCAACCCATGTCCTCATCTTTGATCCTGGTTTGGTGGCCATGAAAGCAAGAACCACAGTGATGGTCTTGGCCAACATGCAAGAAACAGCCACGGAGAAGATGATCCCAAAAGCAGTCTGTCGAAGGAGACACGTCACCTTCATGGGCCGACCGATGAAAAGCAGAGAACAAAGGAAGGAGAGGAGGAGGGAGATAAGGAGGGTGTAGGAGAGGCTGCGGTTGTTGGCTTTGACGATGGGAGTGTTGTGGTATTTCAAGAAGATTCCTAGCACAAAGATTGTGATAAAAGAAAGCACAAGAGCTGATGTGGCTAAGCCTGTCGCCAACAAGTCTCCGTAAGATAGATAACTTACATGCTTTGGCATGCATAAATCCTGTTTATTGTTTGGATATTGATCTTCTGGGCATTGGAAGCAATCATCCATATCTGGAAAAAAACAAATGTATTTATTTAAGTTAAAACACTACCAGAAAGCCCTTAGTATAGTGCATGATATTATGGTGCCTCATTGATACAAATGATGCTACTATTAGATGAGTTCCAGTGGAATCACTCTTTTCTTGATAAAGAGTTTATACTAAAGAACACATATTATTATTATTAGATAGAAAGAAACTTTATTTCTTCCTTGACCACTAAAAAGACATCCAGTAAAAGAAACAAAGCAAAGTTCAACCCTTAGTATCAGTGAATTCTATCAACCTTTTGTGAGTGAAGGTTATGTTTAATATAGTAACATTTTGCTACTTTTAGACAGATAGATTATCCTTGTTATCTAAGAAATAAAGAAATGCAAATTAGCAGAATGCCCTGTAAATTTAGATAAAATGGATAATCAATGTGTGGTAAATGTCCCTGTAGAACTGGCAGTGAATGGACCGTGGTTTCTGAGGCACCTACATAGTCTATCACAGGGGCAGTTTCAATTTTCATAATGAATATTTCTGTATTTCTCATCTAAAACAGCTGAGGAGAACAGCATTCACCCTACACCATTTTGGACAAATGGTTATCCAACATCTTCTTAAAAACCTCCAGTGTTGGAGCATTCACAGCTTCTGGAGGCAAGTTATTCCACGGATTATTTGGTGTAGCTGTCATAAAATTTCTCCTTAGTTCTAAGTTGCTTCTCCCTTTGATTAGTTTCTACCCATTGCTTCTTGTCCTACCCTCAGGTGCTTTGGAGAATAGCTTGACTCCCTCTTTTTTATGGCAGCCCCTGAGATATTGGGACACTACTATCATGTCTCCTCTAGTCCTTCTTTTCATTATACTAGACATACCCAGTTCCTGCAACCGTTCTTCATATGTTTTAGCCTCCAGTCCCCTAATCATCTTTGTTGCTCTTCTCTGCAGTCTTTTGAGAGTCTCCCCATTTTTTTTACATCATGGCGACCAAAACTGAATGCAGCATTCCAGTAAGAGTTGGAAGGGACCTTCTAACTCTATTCTCTAACTAAAGGTGATACACTTATGAGGTTATATTTCCCAATTCCCTTATTTCCCAATTCTTTTTCTTGTTGAATTGAGAAAATGGAGAAAACTCCTAGCCTCAACTAGCTCAAGTATCCCTCTATAAAATGTTCCTCCCTCTCTCTTTTTTTTACCTGTCTGATCTGAGATCTTCCCCTTTGGACACAGAGTGCAACCATAGCAGCAAAACAATTTTCCTTCAATTTTGGTCTTCCTGTAACCTGAATGGCACTTCTCATTACAGAGTGAGAGGGGTCTTTCCTGTTCAAAATAATAATAAAAAGATAGTTTGCAATATAGAAAAGTTTTCAAGTGCTATATCTGTAAAAGTAAAAATATCCTTTCTGTCTGATATGGCCGAAACAAAATAATGAAAAATACTGTGAAATTTGAGGAAAGAAAATCCCTCCTATTACTTAGGCTAGAGTCAATTTTGTGACACTTGGAAGCAAAGAGGCAGAAAGAAAAACTAAGGTGTGTTAATAAAAAAAAAACCACCCTGAAAATTAGATCACCAGATCTCATCAAACATAGAAGCAAAATTGTTTCCTGAAACATTCAGATAAGGGGTGAAATCCAGCAGGTTCTGACAGGTTCTGGAGAACCGGTAGTGGAAATTTTGAGTAGTTTGGAGAACCGGCAAATGCCACCTCTGGCTGGCCCCAGGGTAGGATGGTAATGGAGATTTTGCAATATCTTTCCCCTAGGAGTGGGGAGGGAATGGAGATTTGCAGTATCCTTCCCCTGCCACACCCACTGCCACGCTACACCCACCAAGCCATGGCCACAGACCCGGTAGTAAAAAAATTGGATTTCACCACTGATTCAGATGCGTCTAGATGAAACAAGCCTGAGGATATCACGTTATGACATTTCCCCTTTTAGCCAGCAGAATTGCTGACAAATAAATGGACCAATCTCATTCTTTGTTGACTTTAATAGTCGTGTGGTTTCGAATTGCATTTATCTTTTGTTGTTGTTGTTGTTGTTTATTTCTGCTTTTATTCCACTTCCACTCTAGCCTAAAGCTGGGAATTTCCACCAAGAGTAATTATGTGCTGCCAAGTACATGCACTCGAACAGCATTCTTCAAAATGAAAAAAGGTCTTCTGCAGTCATGACAGAAGCCTAAGACTGAAAATCAAGCTTGTCAGATGTTCCATCTTTTCTATCCTGCTCTATGGAGTAGAGAGTTGGTCCCAGACAGAAAACCACTTGAAGACACTAGAAGCATTTCAAATGTGGATTTATAGATGGCTGTTACATATAAGATAGGTTAACAAAATCACAAATCAGGAGGTGATAAGCCACCTGGGAAAGCAAATGTAAATCATCAAAGCCATTAAAAAGCAAAAGTTTGAATATTTTGGACATGTGATGCGAACACCCTGAAAAAGACGGCAACTTTCACTTAATCCTCCAGGGAAAAATTGAAGGCAAACAAGGTGCAGGCAGAAGAAGAACATCATGGCTTCAAAACACGGGTGAAATGTAAGATTTGTTACTACCGGTTCTGTGGGTGTTGCTTGGGGGGGAGGTGTAATGTGACTGGGTGGGCGTGGCCAACTTTTTTTTTTAACTTTTCAAAGCATTTTTTCTAATGCCTTGAAAAGCATCTGCCGAAGAGGCAACTCAGCTGGGATCATCAGAGAGGCTTTTTAAAAAATACCTCTCTGCCGATCAGGCAACTCAGCTGGGATCATAAGAGACTTTTCAAAGCATTTTTTTACCACCTCTTCGGCCAAGAAGTTGTAGAAAAAATGCTTTTAAAAGTAAAAAAAAAAGCCTCTGATGATTGTGCAGCTCAGCTGGGCATGGGGGTGGGGATGCAGGGACTTTTGCTACCGATTTTTGATAGTCCTTAACATTTCTAGAAAGGATGCTCATCATCCAATTGAGACAAAAGGATTCGTACTTGCTCACTTCAGCCGTATGATTATACAATCATTGATTATTAAATTTAGATGCAGAAAAAAAATGCAAATAAGGGATCCTTGGTGCTCTCTGAGCTTGCTTGTTTTCTTGCAGATGTTTCATTACCCAAACTAGGTAACATTCCTCCTTCTATGTATGGGATGTAATCACCAAGGACCTGTCATATCAACCCTGAGCTGCAAGTATTCTCTTTTATTGTCTATGGAGATTCTCAGTCAGCCATGTCATGAGTGTCCCAAAGGTGCTTTTTCAAGAGGCAAGTGGCCTTTCTGGTTTTTCTTTGAAGATGTTTTGCTTCTCATCCAAGAAGCTTCTTGAGCTTCATAGGATATTTCTTGTGGTGATGAAATAAATGAAAATTAACATCTAAACTGCCCAGCCTTCTTAAAGCTAAAGGTGTAAAAATCTGATAATAAATTACTGCTACTGGAAATGTTAAATCCTAGCTAATTAAACTCTCCAAGTATTATTTGCTTTAATAAATTAATATTTTTTTAAATATTTATTTTTTCTGGAGTATTGGAGAGAAAGGAATTAGGCAATATTAAAATTGTTGCTATACAGTAGGTTATCTAAAAGCAAATGTTAAAGAAATAGTCAGAAGTGGACATTTCTTCAGAATGAAGGGAAGACAATATAAGCACTTTGTAATGAGGTATGAACCTGAAAATCATGACTCATCGTAATAAAATTGAACCAAGCCATAATGAAATAAGATGAATCTCACCTGATTAAACCGGTTGGGCCAAATGATCTTCTCTTCAGAAATAGTCAATGGTTCATCAGAGAGTGTTCCTGGATCTATCCTTCCAACTTTGACTCTAAGAAATGTCTGATTTGGAAATGTGATCCAGTTTATAATATCAAATCCTGCAACTATTTCCCCATTGCTATCAAAGGAAATCTCTCCAGTACTGCTATTAAATGATATACTCCGCAGAAAATGGTGAAGCTTTAAAAACACAAGATAAAAAAGGTACAAAGGTAAGAATGCATTTTAATAAATCAGCATCCATACTGTAATTAATTGCCCCTCAAAATGCTACTATAATGTAAACAAAGCAATTCAGCAAATAAAACATTTTATACACTGCTAATAACGTATTTAGAAATAACCATTACTACATGGTTCCACTGAAAGCTTCCATATATTACTACAAAAGCCTATAAACCAGGCAACTATATATTTTATTACGAATGAATGCTGTATCAGAAAGAAAAGTCAAAAAGATAAACCATGTTCTCTATATCATAGAAATTGCCACGTTTGTATTTGCTAGGATAAAATTGCATTTTATTCATTTTTCAGTGCAAAATAAGAATGTAATTTTAATTGTTTTTGATCATTCACCATAAATGGAGGGAGTGGTACGGTGGCCTAGAGGTGGAACTCTCGCCTCCCAATCAGGAGGCTATGAGTTCGATCCTAGGTAGAGGCAGATATTTCTCTCTCTGGGCACAATGAGAATATATCTGCTGAACAAAACTCTACATTGGTGACAAGGAGGGCATCCTGCCACTAAACACTCTGCTAGCTACATTCACTTGCCCAGACTCCACCCCACAAGGGATTATGGGGTCATTCAAAGAAGATGATTCACCATAAATGGATAATTTGATGATGAGCCCAACAAATAGAAAAAGAATATTTATAGTTATACGTTAATAGTATTTCAGCTTCAACAGAACTGATGCTTAAATTTGGAGAACGATGAGACATTTAAGCAATGCAGCAAATGCTCTAAACAGTACAAATTAGAAGTTAGCTGTAAAACTTGAAAGCAAAAAAATACATCTTATTGTGTAGAAAGCAAAGCACAATGTATAAAACATACGGTATGAAGTTGGTGCTCACCAAACACGTTGTGATCATCACTTGAAAAATATACAACTAGATCAATCATAAATATTGGAATTGACTAAAAGCTGAATTTATATGTGATTGGCTCGAGGATGAAAAATCTGACATGAACTGATAGTGGCGACCTGCAGGTGTGCTATGCCCTGGCGCTACGCTGTCCTATTTAGCCACGTTTTCTAAGCCGCGTGCATATGTGCAAGCTGCGCGCACTAGCAAATGGTGGTAAAATTATGTGAAATCCACCTCTGATGGTGACTATCACTTGCAAAACATGCAGCTGGATCAATCACAAATATCAGAATTTAATAAAAGGTGAAAATAGATCTGATAGGCTTAAAGGATGGGGAAAAAAAAAAGGCCGATAGACAACTTTGCAACTGAATCAATGAACTGTATCTGCTGAGGTGTTCTAAGTAGTCTGCAGTACTCACCTTCCATGACTCTTGATTGAGGACTTTCTGCCTCCTTGTTGTCCTTTGCCAGACTTGGGAAGAATACAGACTATGCAAAGCATGTGCAATTGCGTAGACAGCAATGTAGACACTGTAGCTGTGGGCAGTCATGCTGGTTTCAAACACAGTCATGGGGAGGCTCTCAAGTTTCTCCTCCCCAGTGCAGAGAGTCTCATGCTCTTCCTCTATAGGAGTCGTTGGGAACATACAATTAAACATCTGTTGCCAGAATTCTTTTAAAAAGCTGTCTTCTTTATCCAAAGCTGGGTTTCTCATCTGAACAAAGTTTTGGAACCCTGATACCTCCACTGATTGCACTGAAAGGGACAGAGCTCCATGCATGAAATTAATGTCCCAACTCCTTTGAAAGAGAACCGATGAGAAGTCAACATCTGCCATCATCACCCAGATTTTTGTACCATAACTTAGATTGCTAAACTCCAACAGGTTGAGTAAAAACCTTACGTTTAATATACTCTGAAATTCCCCGTGAAGCAACACGACGTTAGTTGTGCTGTTGAAAACTGTGTTTAAAATGGCATGGGATCTGTGAACAATTTTCTCATCTTCGTTGAGAAAACCAGCTGGTATTTTTTCTATAAATTCAAAGCAGACCCCTTTTTGGGAAAACATAGGAAGAATATTCCTCCATAAAATATCTGCTATGTTGCCAATGTTAAGGAAAAATACCCCGATCCAGGTCCAGCCAAAATGCAGAAGAATCTGGAGAAGTCCTTGGTACTGACTAATTGCATTTGGGAGCATCCAGTAGAAGAAACGAGATAGAGTTTGGGTCTTGATCTCTAGAGTAGAGCTATATGCAACCTAAAGGAAACAAGGAAACCGGAAAGGTTTAATGTCCGGGACCTGCAACATTTTAAAATTAATATTCATTATTTTAATTAATATTATTTGTGAATAGAATAGAATATAGAATAGAACAGAACAGAATAGAATAGTAAATAGAAGAGAGCAGAGCAGAGCAGAGCAGAGCAGAGCGGAGCGGAGCAGAGCGGAGCAGAGCAGAGCGGAACAGAACAGAACAGAACAGAACAGAACAGAACAGAACAGAACCAAGTAGAGTGGAATGGAATGGAATGGAATAGAATAGAATAGAATAGAATAGAATAGAATAGAATAGAATAGAATTCTTTATTTTCCAAGTGCGATTGGACACATAAGGAATTTGTCTTCAGTGCGTAAACTCTCAGTGTATATAAAAGTTATAAGTGATAAATTATGATCATTTAGATCTTTAAATGACATTCATTCATTTTATGAATGTATTTTCAAGCACCTTGAGATTCAAGGTGCTGGTGTTAACCTATAAAGCCCTTCATGGCTTAGGCCCAGGATATCTGTCGGACCACCTGCAACCAGCATCGACTTCCCATCGCCTGCTGCGTTCCCACAGAGAGGGCCTACTCAGGGTGCCGTCAGCTAGACAATGTCGGCTGGCAACCACCAGGGGTAGAGCCTTCTCTGTGTCCGCGCCCACCCTTTGGAATCAACTTCCCATGGCTCTTCAGCTGGCCCCCAACCTTCGTACCTTCCGCTGTGAACTTAAGACGTGGCTGTTTAAACGCCCAGGCCAGGACTGATGGGGTCTACTGTTTTAAATTGGTTTTTAGTCTGTTTTAGTCTGTTTTAATTTGTCTTTATGGGGATTGTTTCATTTGATGTGAGCTGCCCTGAGTCCTTTGGAGACAGGGCGGCATATAAATCCAAAAAATAATAAATAATAATAATAATAGTATTTTATGTCTGCTAAATATATAAGAATAGTAATAAAATATTAGATAGATAAGATATCTAATGAAATATTTGAAAAGTCATAGGTTTAAAAACTAGGTATGTGTTTTCACCAAAACAAAACTTACTTGTACAAACTTGTAACGTGTCACGATGGTAGCTATATCAAGAAAAGCAACAGGACTTGGTCCTCCAATGACAGCTATCAGATTATTTTGTAGATGACATTTATAATTAGGGATGAATGCATCTGAAGCAAAGAGGAGCTCCATTGAAGCTTTGTAAGTATGTTTGGGACTAAAATAGTCATTGTAGATGTTGAAGCCTAAGGTCATGTTAGCTAAGATGAGAGGACTCTGATTAATCTCTTTCACAGCAAAAACCAAAGCCAAAATGTGTTGATAGCTCTGAGTCAGCAATCTGCAAAACAAATAAATAGAAAATTACTGTATTGCCATTGGCATTTCAGAACTGTTAAGAAGGAGAGATTCTTCTCTAATAAGTTGCTAAGGTACAATACATATATTAATAGAGAAAGATTGAAACATAGCTTTAAAAAAAGAAAACAGAAAACTTGCTCCCAATTTTAAAACACACAACTGCTTACACATGATCCAAAAGCATGTCCTGGAATGGATGTCTTCTGTACTGTAATATGCTCATATAAATGAAAGACTGTGAGAAAATGCCACCAAGAATCTGGTCTCCTGGCTGATGATATTTAGGAAGGTTAGTAATAGGCTGGGTCTTGGAGCATTTTGACACTGGCACTCTGCAGACACTCTTAGGAAGGGGCCCTAATACCAATAATCTGAATATTACGATCATGAACGAAAATCTCCCCATAAAAGAACATTTCTCCATTTGGCCCATTAACGCTGAGGTAACTTTTTCTTAGATTCTAAGACATGTCTTATTAACCTAATAATAGAGTCTTTCTCGGTAGCATCTGTAATTTCTGAACTGGGATATTTAACTTCTTTTTTCTTTGGTCTGTAACATCATCAAAAATTACCAGAATTCTCCACAAAGAAAAGTGGAAAGTTTCCCAAAGAAGCTTCAGTCCAAGTCGCTATTTGTAATTATAGGACAATCTTCTGGGTGATTCCCATGCAATTTCTCTCATTGATTCTCTCAAAGATCTCACTACCAGAGATTTTTTCATTTTTTTTCCATTTTATTTGATTTATATACCACCCTACTCCCGAAGGACTCAGGGCAGTGAACAGGCACAAGATAAAACACATAGAATACAAAAATTTAAGAGCAGCAGTAAAATTAAATCAATTTAGCCCAAGACAAATTTAAAACCCCAGGTTAAGAACAAATTAAAATTTACATTAAAAAGAGAATGGGAGAGGTTAGGGCAGACCAGCCTGGTTAAATAAAAAGGTCTTGAGAGCGTGGCGGAAGATGCGTAGATCTGGGATCCTCCGTATCTCCAGGGGGAGCTCGTTCCAAATAGTAGGTACCCCCACAGAGAAGGCTCTCCCCCTGGGGGCTGCCAGCCGACATTGTTTGTCCGATGGCACCCGGAGGAGTCCCTCTTTGTGAGAGCGTACTGGCCGGTGGGAGGCCGTTTGCGGCAGCAGGCGGTCCTGTATATAACCAGGCCCTAAGCCATGGAGCGCTCTAAAGGCGGTAACCAAAACCTTGAAGCACACCCGGAAGATCACCGGGAGCCAGTGCAGCTCACGCCGGAGATCATTAAGAGGGGAAAAACAGAGAGGACAGAGGAGCTGAGAAGTGGGACAAAAGTTACACAGAAAAGAAATCCAAAATCTAGATGTGTCTCTCTATGGGTTTTCATGCTACATCTCTTACATTGGTCCCCCTTTACTCAGGAATTTGGAAGCAGAGGAATTAAAACTTAGTTATATAAATCCTTTAACTATGTGTTTTTTTAGGATCTCTACCCAAGGCCATCTAGAGACAGAAAAAGAATTGCTGTCTGAATCCCACACCTTTCTCCCAGGTGAAGTGAAAGTGGCTGCAGTTAAACAATTCTTTCTTTTCTTTCCTCTTTTCTTTCCACTTTTCTTTCCACTTTTCTTTTCTTTCTCTCTTTCTCACTCTCTTTCAGGGGTGCTATTCAGCAGGTTCTGACAGATTCTGGAGACCCAGTAGCAGAAATTTTGAGTAATTCAGAGAACCGGCAAATACCACCTCTGGCTGGCCCCAGGGTGGGGTGGGAATGGAGATTTTGCAATATCCTTCCCCCAGGAGTGGGGTGGGTATGGGGCAGGGGTGAAATCTACCTATCTTCCCTACCGGTTCGGAAGCAATATTCTAGGCTTCTTTGGTTGTTTTGTTGGCTTTGTATATTTTAATAGAATTAAAGATACTCAACTCCTCATAAATCTAGTTTTTAATATTCTTTGGAAACAAAATGGACCCTGACATAATGGAAGAATAATACTAGGAAGAAGATATTGGAAATGTTATCAGAAACCAGGCACATACTATCACCTGTGGTAGACATGCACAAAAGCAAAAGAATTTTGGGCAAAAATGCATACGTAGTTAGAAAAAAAAATGTTAAAACAGCATATAGATTTTAAACCAGAACTATTTTTGTTAGGCATAATTCCAGAAAAATATGATAAAGGGAATGCATATTTGATATTACATGTTTTAACAGCAGCAAGAATTGTATTTGCACAATATTGGAAAAGTGAGGAAACACCTACGAAAGAAGACATAATTTAAAAAATATTGGACTGTGCAGAAATGGACAGATTAACACTGACGATAAAAGAAAAAAGAAAAAGAAGACACAGAATATTTTTGAACTTGAGACTTGTTTTATTAATGATTGGATATCAGGGGTAGAAATTAGGAATTTAAGAAGTATTACTCTGTAAACGAATGGACTCAGACAGTACACTGTTCACCCAGCATATATTGCATGTAAAGAGAAAAACAATTAAAAAAAAAACACTAGGAGGAAGAAGAAGACATTCTTTGGAAGCAAAGAGTGTACAATATTTCCTACTTGACAAACTAGATTTAATCATTGAAGTTATCCGGGGCGACTCATAATGATTTGCAATGTATTGTAGCTATGTATTATCTGTCTAAGTATTACAGGGAGTAAATGTGATGGAATTTTGGCCATTACATTGGAAGAAACCATGTACTTTATTATTGCATTTATTCTCTTTTGTAGAAATTTGAACATAAATAAGTAAATAATGCTTAGGCCACTACTTATTTTCTTCTTTTAGCAAAGTTTTAATGACCATCAATGATTATTTTCCGGTCTTGAATACCACATCTTGAATATCTATTTTGTTTGTTTAAAATCTGTGATCTCTGGCATTTTGACTGGAATGATGGGACTGAAAGTTATTTTTTAAAAAAATTGTTTCCTTTTATCTACCACAAGAAAATAAATTTAAAAAGTTAGTCTTATTAGCAAGCTTCCACTGAATTACCCTCATACAACATGTTATTCAGAATAACAGAATAACAGAGTTGGAAGCGACCTTGGAGGTCTTCTAGTCCAACTCCCTGCTCAGAAAACCTGCTGCCCCACTGCTCAGGAAACCCTATATTATTTCAGACAAATGGTTGACCAATCTCTTCTTAAAAACTTCCAGTGTTGGAACATTCACAACTTCTGGAGGCAAGTTGTTACATTGATTAATTCTTCTAACTGTCAGGAAATTTCTCCTTAGTTCTAGGTTGCTTCTCTCCTTGATTAGTTTCCATCCATTGCTTCTTGTCCTGCCTTCAGGTGGTTTGAAAAGTAGGTTGACCCTCTCTTGGAATCCTAATTTTAGAATCCTAATACCTCAATTGATTTTACTGACAAAGACAGAGCCCCATGCATGAAATTAATGTCCCAACTCCTTTGAAAGAGAAACGATGAGAAGTCAACATCTGCTGTCATCACCCAGAGTTTTGCACCATAATCTACATTACTAAACTCCAACAGGTTCAGTAAAAACCTTAAATTTAATATACTCGTGAATACTCCATGGAACAACACAATATTAGTGGTGCTGTTGAAAACCGTGTTTAAAATTGCATGGGATCTATGAACAGTTTTTTCATCCTCGCTGAGAAAGCCAGCTGGTAATTTTTCTATGAACTCAAAGCAGACGTCTCTTTTGGAAAACATGGGAAGAATATTCCTCCACGAAGTCTCGGCTATGTTGCTAATATCAAGGTAAAGCACTCCAACCCAGGTCCAGCCAAAATGCAAAAAAAGCTGGAGAAACCCTTTGAACTGATGGAGAACATTTGGGATCAGCCAGTAGAAGAAACAAGATGGAGTTTGGCTCTTGGTCTCTAGAGTAGAGGCACATGCATCCTAAATGAAACAAGCAAAATGGGAGAGATAGTTAGGTCCACTGAGAATTCCCCCCCTCTCCTTGGCATTAATAACATTGCTACATTTTCAGGTGAGATCATTCAGCCATTGTATTTTAGGTCTCGAAATATATAATAAAAGTAAAGAAAGGTCACAAAATGTAAAAGGTTTAAAAACTCACTCTGGGTTTTTCTTAAAGAACTTACCTGTGGAAACTTGTAATAAGTCAGGATAGTAGCCATATCCAGAAAAGCCATAGAACCTGGTCCCTCAATAACTGCTATCAGATTATTCTGAAGACCACATTTATAGTTAGGGATGAATCCATTTGGAGCAGAGAGAAGTTCCATTGTAGTTTCATATGTATATATTGGGCTAAAAAAGTCATTAAAGATGTTGAAGCCCAGGGTGACGTTGGGTAAAATGAGGGGATTTTCATTAATCTCTTTCGCAGCAAAAACCAAAGCTAAGACATGTTGGTAGCTCTGAGTGAGCAATCTGAAAAGAAAGACAGGAAGGAAGGAAGGAAGGAAGGAAGGAAGGAAGGAAGGAAGGAAGGAAGGAAGGAAGGAAGGAAATAACTGTATTACCTCTGAAATATTAGAGGTTTTTAAGGGAGGTTTTTCTTTTGTAGGTTAATAAGGTGTAATTCTCTAAGCATGTCAATAGTGAAGGATTGAAATATAGGAAACAGAAAAAAACTGTAAGTTTAAAAGGCTTACATATGATCCAAAAGTATTTCCTGGAGTGGGGGTTTTCTGAACATCATTGTATTAATAAGAATGAAAGACTGTGATAAGACACCACCAATAATCCTGTCTCCTGGCTGATAATATTTATGAATGATAGTAATGTCCTCGGTCCTGGGGCATTTTAACACTGGAACCTTGCAGACAATCTTAGGAAGAAGCATGAATGCCAATAAGTTAAACAGTATAACCATGAATGAAAATCTCCCTGTAAAAGAACATTTATCCATTGGATCCATAAATGCTGAGGCAGCCTCAAATTGGAGAT